CACACACACACACAGATACACACTCACAGCCAGAGTCTTGGCTCAGGTTGTTGCTGCTGATGCAACTGGACAGGTGTTAGATTCCAGCTCCAGCGCTCATGTTTAATCAACATTTAATGACAGGAGCGGAAAGCGGCGTCAGCCATCATTTTTACGACACACTGCGGTGTCTCCTCGCCATCGGCAGGATTACGAGCCGAGTGTGGACTGTGGAATTTCAAGTACGAGATGTTGAAACAGCAGCCAGCTCTGCATTCCTCCTCCTGCTCTTCCTCCTCCTGTCCTCACTTTGCGAGAGTGAACAACTCCTGTGACTTGATCTGAATCTCACTCGTAAATTAGATTTTTGTGAATACAAAACTCGTGTTTGCCAACTTGCTGAAGCTGGTGATGACATTTCCTTCAGATTGCACAGTTGTGGTGTGTGAGGAGGATGCAGTCTATTGTCTGCTGCTGTTCAGACAAGACAGGAGCTCAATTTTGAACCCGATTGTTCTTCTCTAATCGCAGTTTAGTTTTTTCCCCAGCTGTGTGTTTGAGGGGATTACGGGTATAAATAAAAATATGATCTGAGTTTTTAGTCGGTGACACCTGGTAGCTTATTTGTTTGTTTGCTGTAAGGATATAGAAGATTAGCAGTGTGGGTTGGGTTCGTCTAATAGTGACACTGATAGCAACCAGTGCTCCCGAAGTGTTCCTCCTCTTCTCTCCTTCATTCCTGCCTCCTTCCTTCCTTCCCCACCCCTCCTGGCCCGCTCCTCCTCCTCCTCCTCCAATGATTCCTCGCGGTGAACTTGCAGTCCTGACAGCTCACATACTGGAAGAGGAGGAGCAGACTCAGGACATCTGTGGGAAGTGAGATTATGAAACAGGCCTCTCCCGTCCTCCTCTGACCCTGGCCACCGCACTCACCGTTCATGATACCGTGCAAACGATAGTGACAAAATGCAAGTTTGGCTTTTATTTTTTGAACTTTGGCATTTCAGGCCCAGGTTTTGAGCTGAGAGGTTGAGATGGATGACTTTTTCTTGGTTTGATTTTCCTCTCGTGTGCAACGTGATATGTCAGCCAGATGCTGCTCCAGAACACCTTGTTTTGAAGTCCATCTGAAACGGTTTAAACTCAAACAGCACGGGCCCCGAACTTAAAGCGGGAACACTTTGTGGGCTCATTTTCATATTTATTTAATCATACAGCTTTCTTGTGGCTCCCTCGATGTGACATAAAGAAGTGTCATGCAAGAGCAAGTACGGGGTTTTTCAGTCATGGTATCTATGGATGTCTGTGGGTCGGTCCAGACTGAAATCTAACTGTGCAAACATTCATGGTCCCCAGAGAATGAATCCTTCTTAGTTTGGTTATCCCTTGACTTTTATTCCAGACTCCCATGAGGTTTACAGTTTTTAGTGAAAGGTCTCAACCGCTATTGGAAGGGTTGCCATTAAATTTAAGGATATCCATGAACCCCAGAGGATAAACCCTAATTATTTGGTGATTTTTAACTCTACTCATCAAAGTCTGTTTAAAGGTGTTGTGGAGTATTACTGCATATGGGGAAAAGAAGATGTATAAAGCGTTTTGTGGCTTAAGAGGGAACTGCTTAGAAATGTGATAATTGATTTGTAGATAATTCAGAAATCCATCCACCCACACTCCTTTTTTAATAATAGAGCAACTCTTTTGGCCGCATTTCTACAAAAGACCACTGTTTCCTTCTAATGTATGTGTTTCAGCCAATTAGTATCAAACACTACTACCACAACAACTTTGTAATAGTCATAATGGATGACAGTGTTCGTCTGCAGGATGCATATATAACTGAAAAGTGGAGACACGTCTCCAGTGTTTCTGTAAGTGAAGTTAGATGATACTTTAATTTGAGCTGAAGTTGGAGGTGGTTCAGTTTTATCCTGGCCAACATTCCTCAGTAGATTTCACAGCACAGACAAATACTCCCCTGATCATCCACACGTGAGTAATTATTGGTGCTATCTCATTTAGTTTGCCTGCTCACAGGCAGACATGTTTACCTCGGTAATTTGAATGCAGGCTTCAGGCCTGAAAATGGCTCCGCTCTGATGACAGCTATGTGATTGTTTCTGTTCTTTTCTACATATTTTACGATCCCGAATCCCACATTTCAGGCAGAAACGAGAAGTTTTCTTTGTGGGAGTGTAAGAAGAGAAATCACACTCGCTATTTTGACCCCCTGCCCTCTTAGATACACTTAACATGTGTCACTCGATGAGACAGGTGTTTGCCTAAGTAGACCTCCTCAAAAGCAGAGAGCAGCTTGGGTCTCTCAGCTCCTGCCTTGAATACCAACTCCACATAAAATGGGTCAGTCAGCCTTTACTGAAAACTTCGCTGCTTCTTTTTCCCCAGGTGGTTAGAAAAGGAAAAAGCAAGGTGTAAAGGGTGCCAAGTTTTAAAATGAAACACTTGACACTTTAATTTTTTTTTCTTTCTTTTCTCTGTGAGCGGTGTGAAAAAAGCTGTGGGCTGATTTGTGTTCTCTGTTTCTCTCCTCTGCCCTTCCTTCCCTCCTCTTCACAGGCTGTCAGCATCAATAAGGCCATCAACACACAGGAGGTCGCTGTCAAAGAGAAGCATGCCAGGAATATCCTTATATTGTCATTGTGTGTGTGTGTGTTTTTGTCCTGATTTCCATGTGTGGAGCTGTTCCTCCATGGCTGGGAGGGTTACGTTAGTGCAAGATAAAAACAACAAACTTAGTGTAACCTCATCACCTACCGTGGCCCTGCTGCAGAGCTAATTTGGTCGCGTGTGAAACAAATCACAAAGCTGCACAGATTGCTGCAGAGTGCTGTTTGGAGATTTCAGAATATCCAGGGCTCATTATTTTAGTTTTTTTAACTTTTCAAAAAAGATATTTGGGGAATAATTGTATTTCTTTTAAAACAAAAACATGCACATAGTCAGTACAAACACTGTTTTAAACTGTACGTTTAACCATATAGACCCTTACCTGTAAAAAGAAACTCAATTGTGTTTTAAGCTTTATATTTAGTTACCAAAAGCATTGTCTGAGCTGTCCCCGCTGAAAGAAGACTTTATTTAAACTGAGGTCACCAAGGTCCGGATCTCTGTTTTTTCTGAGGGGGAAAGTTGTGAAATCATTGCCTAAAAATAAATCTCTTTTAATGCATACCTTCGAACCCCTCCTAACAAAATCTCAGGATTTCTACAACCCTGCGTACAGCTTAGTGAGGTACTCCTAAAAGAATTAGGGTTAGCTATGTTGTGTGACACCTTTTTTGGTCCAATTCAGGCACTGGTTTAAGCTGATCCAAAAAAAAAATGGGTATGAAGATTGGTAAATAATTGTAAAATAAACAAATAAATAAATAAAAAGAGTGATAAATAGAAAAACAAAAGGAAAAGGCATAAAACATAACATTGGTCATGAGCAAGACGACACAAAACACTTGTGACATATAAAAGATGTCTTGCAATGTAACCCTGTGATCCTTGACTGTCTCGGGCACCTTGCATCTTGGGGACCCATCATGAGAAAGGCGCCCACACCTTCTGGGCAGCGGTCAACCGGCTTCCTCTCTCCAGCAATGCGGTGCTCTGCTGGAAGTTCTGCCACGTCTTCCACAAGCTGCTGCGAGACGGCCATCCAAGCGTACGTAAAGATGGCGTCCCGTAACGCCATGGCTTTGTCACACCTCATCTACATTTAGTTAATTATACCTGGTGAGTCCTGTTACATTAACTCTTTTCCCCCTCTCGATCCCCCCTCCTCTCTGTTTCTGCTGCTGTCCCTGCAGGTGATAAAGGACTCCATGAGGAACAAGGCTGATTTAACAGATATGAGCAGGATGTGGGTAAGGACACAGAGATAATTATTATATTAATGTGGTCATATCACAGCACGCAGTCACAAGTCTAAGTATGACCTTGTGGGAACAGTTCTCTACTGGTGACTCTGTATTATGAATATTAAAATATTAAACATGGATGAATTGCAGACTTTGATAACTGAACAATTAGAAAGGTCATACAATGAAGGAAAAAATAAAGATAAAAATGTGGACTGTCCTGATGAGTCCTTTTGTTATTGTAAAAGTCTGATTGACATTCAGACAGAGACAGCTAAGTAGTGTACAACAGTCTAGAGCTGCAACGACTGGTCGACTAATCGATCAGTCAATTGACAGAAAAATTTTAACTATTTTGATAATCGATCGAGTAATTTGTTAAGAGAAAAAAAAGTCAAATTCTCTGATTTCAGCTTCTCAAATGTGAATATTTTCTGGTTCTATGACAGTAAACTGAATATCTTTTGGGCTGTGGACCAAACAAGACATTTGAGGACATCACCTTGGGCTTTGGGAAATGGTGATCAACATTTTTCACCATTTTCTGACATTTTCTTGGCCAAAGAACTAATGAATTAATCAAGAAAATGATTGACAGATTAAACGACAATGAAAACAATCAGTAGCATCATTGCAGCCCTAGAACTTAATAATTGAATTGCAGCTATATGATTACTGGTTACACCTTTTCTGACATCACAGTGGGAGTGTGGCCAGAAGAATGTCTCTAAATTGAAATTAGGGAAGCCTGTGTTTTGTTTACTACCACGAGAGAACAGCCTCCAACTTTATCTTCTCGTTCCGGTCATCACATTACGGGTGTAATTGTTTCTAGTCGGCCTGCTGTTGTCTGTCGGAGTGAGAGACAGTGCGGCCTGTGATGGACAAAGCCGCGTAAAACATGCCAAGTGTGACTGTCAGAGCCTGCAACACGTCGCCTGCGTGTTGTGACTAACAGACAGTCACATTACATAAGCTTGTCTGCAAGCTTCTCTGCGGGGAATCTCACACGTTTGAGGTGGCAGAGCTAAAAACTGAACATGTAACATTATTGTATAAAGCCTGATGGGTGACAGTAATGAAATACATGAGGTTTATTGTGTAAACCTGTACTGACTGCACTGCATTAAGCCACGCAGTCTGAACAGTCACACTTCAGTTAGGGTCTTGAGCAACGTTGTGCTGGGTGGAGAACCCGTTCGGCTCTGTATTCCTGGATTTACTTTTTGTTGTTTTATTACTCAGCTTTTTGCTGATGTCACTAGGTAGGAGGATACAGGAAGTTTGGTCCCTGTGACCGGGGGTTGTGGCCTCTCTTTCCTGTTGTGTCATCTCCCACCAGCACTCCCAGGCCGAAGGAAAAAGGAAGTGAGAAGCAATTGGCTAAATAGCTGCCTATTCAACTTTGTCCACACTCTTGGACGAGGGACATTGAACTGGTTTATAGTGTTTTTCAGTGAAGATTCTTTTGGCTGCTGCTGCTGTGGTATAGTTTAGTATAGTTTAGCCCTGCAGTATGAATATGGCCTCAGTCTCTTTATGCTTATTGTATGCTGCCACAACAAATGTCCTCAAAACACCGAATAATTTGCTTCCTTAGTTACTTCCAAATCTGCACGTCTTCAGGAGAGAAAAAGATAATTTTCTACCTTTTGATCGTGTCTCTTGTTTTCTCTTAATGTCCCCTCCTCCACAGGGTCACCTGAGTGAAGGCTATGGGAAGCTGTGCAGCATCTACCTCAAACTGCTCATCACCAAAATGGAGTTTCACATCAAAGTGAGTTGGCCTGGCCTATAAAAACCAGCGCCAGTCTCCCTCATCACTCATTATCTTTGTCTCAGACTCTCCTTTTAGTGCAAGTGTGTCTCTGCGGGGGGTGGGGGTGGGGGTGGGGGTAGCATCATAGAAAATTCTGGCTTTTACACTAATGGCCTCTCAAGAGTCTGTAATGTAGCCTTTTTATGAGACAGCGGAGCGTTGCAAGGACCTAAAAGCCAGTGTTGATGCTATCACAGGAAGACGGGGTTAGCCGTTGCTCTACTGAAGGGTGAGGGCAGGTGGCTGATGTAACTTTAGAGTCGGAGGAGTAATGTGACACGTGTGGCAGGTAAAACCATTGATCATGTTTTACACCTCCCTGCACTCTGAATTTGCTAAATTTGTTGCTCATACATGCAGCATACAGGTTGATCTGTAAACCTACACACAATATCTAAAATAACCTCTGAGCTCACAGAAGAGGAAATGGTCACACACTAGATAAAGGTCTATTAATCAACAATCAGCTCCTGCAAACACAGTCTCATATTCACTTTTAACCTGCAAATAAATGCTGAACTTAAAAAAAAATCTGCCTGCCTACTTGCTAAATAAACACCCTCTACAGTGCATGTTTTTATATATATATAAAAGGCAGCAGAGACAAAAACAACAACAGTTTTCAGAGTTTTTAGCGCCACCGTTTTATAGAAATCCAGCGTGACGGTCGACAGCCTGTTTGATTCAGAGCCAGGATTTTGTTTTCATTGGCTTCAACTAGTGAGACAAAAGTCTAGGGACTGCACAGGAGCAGCCAAAGTCCAAACGATACATTTACCTGAGCATTTCATCTCAAACACAGCAGCCAGCAGTGGTAGGGGAAGCATTCAGATCCTTTACTTAAAACTGCTCTAATCAGTATGTTTAATATTAACAATGGATCACATGATTACTTGTATATGAAAATGGCTGCTGATGAGGCCACAGAGAATTATCATCCCCTCAGCTCTACAGAGCTTTATAGCAACTTTTTCTGTTTTGGTTCATCCTCATCTCATCAGTGTGCGACCTACCAGCACCTGACTGTGGCTGGCAGTGCATGGAGAGTTTTGTTTACCGTTCTAGATTAATTATGCTGCTGTATGTGTAAATATGCAACAATTTCAGGAGAAGTAGTGGCGTAGGAGTGGAAAATGGCATCAAATGGAAATACCCAAGTAAAGTTCAAGTACAAGCTCAAATGTGTACTTAAAGCCCCTGCGAAGGAACTTTCTTGTTTTTGTTGATTTGACTGATTGTGTTTGTTTTTGTGGGTCATATAGAGGCAGATATTAGTATTAAATTGAGACTCTTTCATAACCAGTTAAAACTCCTTGTAGTATGTTTAAGTAAATAAAACTATACCGCCCAGCCTGCCTAGACAACAACCATATTTTAAGACCAGTTTTATCAGCATATTGATGGTTATAAACATCAGATTCTTCCTGTAAATGTGTTCGTCTCAGACAGACGTCAGGATGGCTGAACTTGAGTTTAAAGCTTACTCCTGTGATCTTCTTCTTCTTCTTCTCCAGAACCCTCGTTTCCCTGGCAACCTGCAGATGTCAAACAGACAGCTTGACGAGGCGGGAGAGAACGACGTTAACAACTTGTGAGTGTGTCACGCTGCCGCTTCGCCTGTTGTTGTTGTTATTGTGGTATTTTACTGAGCATGACCGCTGTGCTGGCCAGACCCCATGATCCAGATATTAATTAGTTTCAGTGTTATTTCTCAATCTGTGTTGACCAAAGTGTGAAATTAAATTATTGAATTGGATCGCTACTTTAATCATGATGCACATGAGAAGAACTCATTCATCGGGATGGATTTTAGAATAATCAAGAGGTGTTGTTGAGCAAGGACTAAGGCCTTGAAAAAAACATGGAGAGGAAAGGTTTCAGTTCATTGTTTTAATCTATGGTTCTGCCTTTATTACTATATTATTATATATTACTATATTACTATATATTAGTATTATTTGTCACCCTCCCAGTACTTTAGTTCTGAGGCTGGTACAATAATCTGCTTTACAAGTGGTTCTCTATCTACAAGTGGTTCTCTATCTTTTCGGTTGTTGCCTCTTTAAAATAAGCTAATATTCACTCGCCGCATCAGAGCTTGTGACTTTAATGACCTTCTCGATTGTTGAACTGTTCAGATTTTTAGAGGCCCGAACAGGTAAAAACTGATAAGTTTGTGTATCACTTTAACAACCCCTTAGATTATTTCCCAAGTTGAGAGCAATTGTACTGTACAGTAATAGGTGTGCAGTGTTTTGGGTATTTTACTCCGTGACTCAACCAATCAGAATGCAGGAAGGAAATGACCCAGTGTTTTAAAGCAATCGTGAAGGAAACACTTACGTGCAACTGAAAAGAAAGAGGAATAACATCAATGTCTCTTACACCCCTCAGTCAGAAAATAACACTGTGATACAATGAAACCTGTGTATGTTTGCTGAAAACATCTATCTGTACCCCCTCCCCTACTTTAGCTTCCAGCTGACAGTGGAGATGTTTGACTACCTGGAGTGTGAGCTGAACCTCTTCTTGGGTGGTAAGCTATTCTGGTCCGACTGTGTGCTCTGTGCTACCAGCTGTGCTTATCTGACCATGATGGAACACACACACACACACAC